ATCTATCTATCTATCTATCTATCTATCTATCTATCTATCTATCTATCTATCATCTATCTACCTATACAGGTATTAAGCATAGAGTGCTTTGGATATTATTTCTAAAGTATTGGAATGCCAGTGTCTGTTTATCATGCTTCTTGTTTTGGATCTAGTTGAATAAATGAAAAATGTATCAGGAGAAACTTTAGCAGCTAGTGACCCAAACTCATAGAAAACTTTTGAATTTCCTGTGTGTAAGACAAGACACAAAGATAAAGCTGTGGCATTAATTTGCTGTAACTGCAGTAATGAAACATTCTGAACTAGGTAGCTTAAACTGTAGCAATTTATCCCACAACCCTTAGTGGTAGAAGTCTGATACATGATACCTTCCAGCCAGCTCTTCTTAAAGGCTGTGCCTCTTTTGTCCCACTACTGGTTGTATGTCTCTGCCTCAGTTTGTACTCAGCAGTCTTCCTATGTGTGTCTTCATTCAAAATATCCATCTCTATAAGGATACCACTCGTATTGGATTAAGACCGAATTTATTAGTGTGATCTCATCTCATAACTGTTTATGCTTGCAGTGACTGTCTTTAAATAATAACATTGATAAGGACATCAGTAATTTAATTTTGGGAGCAACACTCAAAATGAGGAGAAATCCTGCTTGTGATCAAGACAGTGGTAATGATCAAGCATCAGGCTGTGGAGCACTAATAGCAGTGGTGAAACCCATGAATGCTAACATTGTCTCCAGTCCTCAAAACTCTGCAGCTGTGCTGTACTGATGCCTCTGACACAAATTCACCATCATGTTGGAGTAAGCTGCTAACAACCCTTATCTGATGGACAGAAAAGACATACATAATCCATGTAAATGACCAGGAAATCATGAGAATTCAGAATCAGGAATCAGGTGAATTCATGGTCATGTGTACTTACAAACTGAAGTTCAGTTTGAAATCATATCACCACAAAAGACTCTTACACATTGGTAATGAGGTTAGAGTTAACTCTGTGAATATTACTATCTTTATAGGCCTAAGGTTTTCTTTTTTTTTGTCACAATCATTTTGTTTTATAACTGAGTCTTACTCTGTAGCCACAGCTAGCCTGCACCCAATGCGTACACTGACCTTGGACTCCTGGCATTCTCTTGCCTGAACCTCCTTATTGCCAAGATTATAGGCTTAAGCTATACCTGGCAAGATAGCCATTAACACCTAAAGTCCAATCCATAATAAAAATGTTATACCAAGTTCAAATAATGATCTTCATATGGATATTCAAAGATCAACCAGCTAATGTTTAGAGTAACTATAGTTATTTTAACCTTAAAAATTTAGTAAAAATTGTTTGTTTTGTGTGTGACATTATGCTTTTATATTCCATTAGTTCATATCCAGATGAAGTAACATCAGTGAATTATCTGGAGCCTATTAGTGACATGTGAGTTTTAAAAAACAAAAATATACACATCCATGCATAAATATGTGAATATGTATGTGCATATCGGTGTTTATATAAAGACATGTACATATACATGTAAAGAGTCTTTCTCTGTCCCAAATAAAATGTAGTCAGACTTTCCTTTGGGCCACAAGCACACCCCCAAATAACGACAAGGAATCTTAATATTAATTTTGAAAGCTTGACTTTAGCTTAAGCTTGTTTTTAACTATCTCTTATGAGTTAAATTCACCCATTTCCATGAATCTACATTCTGTCAATACTGCCCATCCTGCTTCTTCCATACATCCTCTCTGTGTCTCCACGGCATCTCCTTCACACCTTCATTCATCTTTCCCTCTCTCTCCCTAGAAATCCCACCTTTATCTCGTGCCTCGCTAATTCAGTTCTTTATTAAACCAATCACAGCAATGAATCTTTGCAAAGTGTGCAAATATCCCACAACTTACACACATACAGAAACACTGAACAATAAAAAGAATTCAACATTAAATGACAATTGAATAACCAGCCTGAAATGGGATATATGTTTCTCACCCCCTAAAACTTAGGGAACACTGGAGAAGTATGGGTAGAAAGAATGTAAGAGCTGGGTGATAGAGACATGTGTTATAAAGCCTTACCATTATGGCTTGACATGGGTGTAGCAACCATGAATTCACAGCAGCTGCCATTGCCTGCAATGAGTCTGGCATGAGACTGGATGTGACAGTATCCACTCATGAAAGGAGAAGGGGCTGTGAGGCCCTGCTTCTCCCTCCCCAGGAGCTATTGACTGTTTGACTGTTTATGGCAGTTAGAAAAAGGGGAAATCATTGTCTTCAGTGGTGTAGCCACAGGGTAGTTACCCATAATCCAACAGCAAACCCATGCCCATGTGGTGGCCCTGGTAAAACTTGGTGTGTCAAAGAACAAAAACAAAAAGATGCCAGGTGGTGGTGGGGCATGCCATCTTGAAAAACAAGAAAAAAAGACTTACCCTCAGGTACACACATGGTGAAAACAAAGGTCTTAGTTGCTGTGTCTATATAAATTTCTCTTAATTAAGATATGTTGAGGGTGTCAGTATTTCTTACTCTTAATAACAACCAATGTATTGAAAAGAATCAGATTTACTAACTGAGATAGCAATAGTGTTGACCAAAGAGAGAATCCTTTTAGAGCATAGAGACAGAATGGTGACTGGTAGCACTGGAGGACTGAGGAGAAAGACCTGCCAATGAAACCTCTATGTATCCCTCACCATTCAAGCTCTCTTGCCAGGTAAGGCTGGTGCCCCACCTGAACACTCACTGTTAAATTAGATGGAGCCACTGCCTTCCATCTACAGATACTTCATCCAACCTCATGGGGAACAGAGAACCACCAGGGATGAAAGTAAGAAGGTAGAAGACAGTTATGACTCAGGAATTTAGATGTGGTAAGAAAGCTATGTACCTATAAACTGTAATTGAATTAGAAATAAGTACACCAAGAGACTGTTCCATTTTGGTGATAATGGTTAATCTGGATGTATTACATTTCTTTTTTATTTTTGAGGTTTTATTTTCATTAAATTTTTGTCCTAAGTTTCCCTCCACAAAACCCTTCCAGATACCCCCTTTGTCTCCTTCAAATCTGTGGCCTCTGTCAATTATTATAGTGTGATATATATATATTATATACACATATATTCCTAAATATAACTTGCTAAGTTGGTAGAATGTTGCTCATATGTATGTTTTCAGAGCTGACCATTTGGTACTGAACAACCAATTGGTGTGCTTTTCTCTGGAGAAGACCACCTCTACCATTCCCAGCTTTCTTCAGTTGCTACAAGATGCAAATTAATGATTTTCATATGAATATTTTAAAATCAGCTACCATATAATAAGTATAATTAAATGTACTTGATCTCCCCAAAAGTGGTTGCATTTTAAACATATGTACTTTTTACTGACTATGTACTTTTCAAAAATTTAGAACATGTACAGATGATTCAGCATCAGCACAAATCCTTGGTGGAGCTGTGAGTGATAGGTGAGTGAACTGAATTAAAAATATACACCCTTAGGTACATTTACATGTACACACATGTAAATATTTACATATATATATATGTGTGTGTGTGTATCTATACATATATATGTTCCTACACAGGAACACACACACACACACACACACACATGTTCCTACACTGACCTACAAACTAGTATCAGTGTACACATAAGCATTCTCTCTCTCTCTCTCTCTCTCTCTCTCTCTCTCTCACACACACACACACACACACACACACACACACGAAAACCCATAAAAACTATGGGAAGAGGATTTCACAAAACTACCTGAAGAATTCTTTTACATCAGAATACCTTTTAAATTGTATCTAAATTGTCTCTTTGTGGGACTTGTTTGTGGGACTGCATTTATTTTAAACCAAACTGCAGAAGAGAGAGTTCTTCCTTCAGCCTGTCGGCCACTTTAAGTAGCAGCCAATCCCTTAGGAAATGTTTAGATTTCCATTAAGATACTAAACTAGTGTGATCCAGCAGTTAGAAAATTTGAGTAGGATAAAAGAGAAAGAATGAGCAGAGAGGGAGATGTAGGGCATGTAGTAGAACAGAAGACACACATGCAATGGAGCCTGGAAGCATCCTTGCCCTACAGATCTCTGCTACCATATGGATAAGTGGTCCAGACCCCACTGTTATCTGCAGGGAGTCCCTCTGTCAGAACAGCAGGTGCTTGACCACATCTCATACAAGAAAGACAGCATGATTGGGAATCATAAATTGAAAAAAGAGGGGGGCTTCCTTATAATCTGCAGGTATTATCTGAGATAAGTACGACAAGAAAGCCTGTTATATTTTAAGAGTAAAGTAACAATTGCTTCTCTTTGAATTCTTTTCCATTTTTACAGATTTGAGGAATTCAGTACTGGCATTAAAAAGCCTAAGGTTTAAAAAAAAATAAATCTCACCAGGCAATGGTGGCTCATGCCTGTAATCCCAGCATTTGGAAGGCTGAGACAGGCTGATCTCTATGAGTTCAAGGCCAGTTTGGTCCAGGACCAGGACAGGCTCCAAAGCTACAGAGAAACCCTGTCTCGAAAACAAAAACAAAAACAAAATCTCATGCTTAAGTTTATGACATACACACTAACATTTCCATATTGGTTATTAATTTATTGAACAATTGTTACTATATAAACTATAATTGTAGAATTATATATAAAATTTTTAAATGTAAAATAAAGCTTAGACTTACAGTTCATATATGATCATGTATTTTCACATCCCTTCAACACAGATTTAGATACTTTGCTATCCATGATATTTGAGGGAATTACCAATTTTATAACATGATTTATAAAATGTAAATGAAGACATTTAAATGTATTAATATGTTCATACTTCTAGAATATGCTGTGTACACATAAATCCTAGCATTAAAACTGGTGATGGAGGGAGGTTGGAATTTGAGAGCTGCACTCTGAGGAGCACCCACAGCAAAACAGAGTGAACTGTTTCTAAACAGTCTTACTCATATATTTGTAGGGAACAGTCTTTTTAATTTAGTCCAGGTTAAAGAAAAGAGAATCGCTTACAGAAGGATGATTTGTACCATTGTGTATTGTCCTTCTATGCTTGTAGCAGTCAAATTTGGCAAAGGCCAGAGAGATTCTAACTGGAGCCAGAAAGAAGGAACAACAGGAAGGAGAAGAGGGGCTATGGCCAAGAACACAGCTAGCAGTACTGGAAGAACCCATTAGCCTGTAGAACTCTGCCATCATATTGAGGTAGGACCTCAAACAACCCTACTGCAGGGCACTGTTCAGAGCCCCCAACCACAGTCCTGTACTTGAACTTACATAAGGCAGAGAAAGACTCTGTGGGGGTAATAGTAAGGAACAAATGCCCAAATTATTGGATAAGTTAAAATGGATTTGTACCTAGAAACTGCACTTGCAATTATACTTGAAAAAAGAAAAATAAATAATTACCTGAAAGCAGAAAGCTGTCACTTAGCTAAACCCCAGACAGAACTCTTATTGAACTTTTTACCAGACAAGATATGTCTATTTCAAATATATAAAATTCATTTTGGTAGAAAAGTGGTATGCAAGTTTCAGAATGACTGATTGTGTTAATAAAGGGAATTTGAAGAGTGTAAAGTCCAGAAATGTAGTAAGAAGGAGTGGACTGCACCTGCCGCCCGACTAGCTTAACCCCTGAAATAACAACACACAAATTGTATACATTTAAACACTGCCTGGCCCATTAGTTTCAGCCTCTTATTGGCTAACTCTCACATCTTGCTTTAACCCATATTTAGTAATTTGTGTAGCACCACGAGGTTGGTCGTGGCTTACTGGGAAAGATTCAGCGTGTCTGACTCAGGCAACTTCATGGCGGCTCTCTAACTCTGCTTTCTTCCTCTCAGAATTCTGTTCTGTCTATTCCACCCACCTAAGAGCCACCCTATCAAAAGGTCAAGACAGCTTCTTTATTCAACCAATGAAAGCAACACATAGAAAGAAGACCCTCCTACACCATAGGAAGTCACATGATGTTCACTATATGTGTCTTTATTTATTTATTTATTTATTTATTTATTTATTTATATGGGGTTATTGAAAAATCCAAACCTCTTTATTTGAAATGAGTCCACTAAGGTCACATAGGGATTTTCTTTTTAGTTGATTAACAAATATCCATTACTTGTTTTAGGAGAAAAATCCATATTTTGCTTAGCTTCTGGTTTTGCTACAACATGGGCATCAGGCTGCCAGGATGAAATACATCTGTCCCGAGCTCTGCTGCACAACACCTTTACTGAACGACAATGTTTATGCCTTTTATGTACCTTATAGCTTTTTTTCTTCTTTTCTTCTTTTTTTTAATTTATAAAAGTTTATTAATTTATAAAAGTTTCCATTTCTGCCCCTCCTCCCAAAACCCTCCCACTCCCCCCACTCCCTCTCCTCCTCCCTCTCGGGGGAGGAACTTGAACTATATGTGTCTTTAAATCTTCCTATGTGAATGGTTAGAAGCTATGAACGAGACACATAGATACATAATGCTAAATTTATGCTTGGAGACATGCAAACTCAAAAATCTGCTGAGAAGGGCAGTTTTGGTCACTAAGTCCTTCCTATCACCTCTTAATTTGGTTACAAGCCTGAACAATCACCAACTAAATCCTAAGGAAGTTTTCAGTATGCTTGTGTATGAGTCTTCTGGGTTAGATAAAAGCAAAGGAAGGCAAAGAGGAATGGCATAAGACAGGGTCATGAGATGGAGGAGACTTCAGCAGAAATAACTAGTGGTGATGACCCTCAGATGTGCCCCACCAAAGCACTGCCATTACATAAGCCCTGCCTATCACCATACTGGATGGAGCACCTTCCACAAGTCCATAGCTGCTGATTTTCACCTCATATTTCCACAATATGAAAATGAAATCAAGGAGAACTTGAAGCTGGTAGGAGGGGCAAGTATCTTTAAACAATAGCTAAATTTGAAATACATCCCATCAAAAACCCTGTTATATAGTGGGAAGGGCCTTGGTCCTGCCTCAAAGCAAAGTGATAGACTTTGGTGACTTTCCATGGGAAACCTTATGCTCTCTGAGGAATGGATAGGGGTGGAGTGGAGTAAAACTGGGATTGGTATGTGTAACTAAAAAATAAAAGCAATAAAACATAAAAAACTGTTATATGTTGGAATTTAGATACTGGTTACTTAAATATAGGTGAATTACTATTTACAAAATTCCAGTAGATTCATTACCATTGTATATATAGCCACTTTTCTAATATAAAAATGCCAAACTTGAATTAGTGGTATACATGAATATTTAAAATTCAATCAGTTCACAACTCAGAACTCTTAGAAATAATGTAGTTATTTGATCTGGAAGTTATTTATGTTTATATCTGGTTTCTGACTATACTTTGGAGTACTTTAGATCACACATGAATGAATTGTGAAAGTCAAGTTGCAAATTAAGACAGTACACACAACTATATATATAAACAAATTTATAGTCACAGAAACTAAAAACAAATGAGAGATTAAAATTTTGAATGCAGCAAGAGAGAAAAAAGCCTCTTTACAACAAAAAGAAATTAGCAGTGAGCAAGGAGCACTCTAGCTCTCAGTGTGGAATAAAATGGAACTAATGAAAGTTGAATGTGTCCATCACTTCAGATCTCTGCCACCAATTAAAGCTAGTACTCCAGACTTCAGATCACCATTGTATTGGGTGAAAACACTGCCTTAGGTCTGTAACTACCTGATCATATCTCATTGTCAGATAATTCAGCAAAGGTGTGTGAAATAAGGAGATAATGATGGGACTTGGGAAGTAGGACATTAGACATTAAATCAGATTGAATATCTGAGTGTCTACAAAATAAGTGTAGCTCCAAATAAATTGAACCAAAAAGACTAACAGGAACTGATATTATGTATTATGTAACAGTAAAACTAAACTATATTTCAATATTAGGTTACTTGTATTTTTACTACTCATTATAATCATGCAAAGCATCATTTCTACAAAAAATGTCATGTCATATTCCAAATATTTAGCTCTAAGGTATAGCATCTTGACTTACTACGTCTGTTTTTATCCTTTAGCACATCCCTGTATGAAGTGAATTCCTCGAGTGAACTAATGAAAGAAATGTAAGATATAATTAAATAAATGGATATATGTGTGTGTGTGTATAGTATATATTTGTTTGTACATAAGTATTTACATATGCATATACACACAGATTAATATCTGTGCTATTAATAGTTAGGAACATAGTACTATTACAAGTTCCCTTTTAAACTTTCTAGTATCATCTCATAGATATTCTTGGTCTTTAATCATGTAGAAAAATAGAACAAATAAGAGATGGGCTCCTCTGGTGTTTGTTACTTTTAGTTACTATGTTAAAAGTTCTGCTGATCCCAAATAGAAAGGATCCTCTCTACAGCCAGGAGGAGGCAGCAGTGGACTGGGAGGAAAGGCCCCACAGGATATTAGAATAAGCTAAAAGGTCCTGCACCTTTCGCTCATCTCCAGAGCTCTGCTGCCAGTGGTTCTATTGTTCCAAGGGTATAGTCTCTTTGGACGGAAGCTATGCCTCAGAACTTGCTCATCATGTACAAAGCCTTATGTCTCATTCTTAGCACTGCAAAAATAAATACATATTAATACATATTTACATGAACATCTGAACTCACACATTTACGCTAAAGCAGGTAAAAACAGATATGAACAATCATAGAAGCATACATGTCCTATACTTTTGATAGGACTAAAGAATTTGTTACGACAAAAACGTGTGTGTATGTGTGTATGTGTACTTACAGCATAATTTGCAGAGAAAATGACGTATTTAACCTGTTAACAGATTTAGATAATACTTTAGAAATCAATTCACTTATAAATTGAAGATTATAATTAATTTTCACTAAAGAAGTCTAAGTCATGTGGTTTCTTTTTAGTACATGAGTAGTACTCAACCTGAATTGAATAGATCATCATTAAATAGAGTTGCTGCCAATACAATGAAGGATATAAGGGAATTAATAATACATGTTTATGTGTACATGTGTATTTACATGCACATAAAAATTTGAACCCACACATACCACACCCTCTGAGATATTAACATTTGAGATATTCTCTCTTGGAAACATCCAAGGGATAACAGGGCTCCTTTTCATTCTAATGAACTTTTCATAATAAATGTTGCCTCATGAATAAAGAAGACAAAATGAGCAATAAGTTACTTATATATTCATAAATGCATCAGTACCAGCTGCTCTGTCTGTATTTTGTTACCTGTATGTATGTTTTTGGAGCTGAACTCTTGGTATTGGATAACGAATTGGTGTGCTCTTTCCTGGGGAAGATTGTTTCTCCTACTTTCAGCATTTCTTAGTTGCCTTTAATTTGTCTAGGGTTGAAGTTTTGTAGGCTTTCCCCTTCTCTTTTAGCATGTTTGTTGGTGTCATCCTTGTTGAGGCCATGTTTAAACAGCCATGTTGGTGAGACTTCATGGGGGTAGCATTTGACATTTCTGAAAGACACTATGCTTCTTTTGATTTTTAAAGAGCTATCAATTAAGAATTGAATCCAGGCCAGGCAGTAGTGGCACATGGTTTTAATCCCAGCACTCAGGAGTCAGAGGCAGAGGCAGGTGGATCTCTGTGAGTTCGAGACCAGCCTGGTCTACAGAGCGAGTTCCAGGACAGGCACCAAAGCTACAGAGAAATGCTGTCTAGAAGGAAAAAAAAAGAATTGAATCCTGGGGTAGACTCACCAATGTATTGTGAAATATAAATTACATACAGTATCTATATATCATACCAGCATGAATTCACAAACATGGTAAATTTTAAATTCAGACATTTACTCTCAGAAAAATCCTTGGGAATCCAGTTTCCTAAATGTTGTTTCTAAATTCCTATTACGGAAATTTCTGTTATAGAATACTCTTTATCTTTAGAATTGAGGTGGAGAAAGAAAAAATAAATCATAGAGGGTGTTTTCTAGCTCCTGAAGTTTGTTCCCTTTGTTAGCCAAGGGAAGAGAGAACTCCATTTAAAACCAGAATATAGAACTTGAAAGGCTACAGAGGAGCCTTTGCAAAGAGAATAGACTCAATAGACCCTACCATGGAACCTTACTCTCCAGAGGTATCTGTGTATCTCCAAACTCATACCTCCATCTTTACTCTGACACCCTGACTTGTGCCTGTAGATTCCTTGTGTGAAAGTAGGAAAGAAGGCAAACAGCCAACAAAGGGACCCGAGGAAAGATTTGTACAACAAAGGAGGAATCATGTCTAGAATTTGCAGCTGAATTTGAATTCATTCATCAATGTTTTCACAGTATGGTTAAGTTAATAAGGAATTAAATTTAAGGATTTTACAGGTTTAAGATATTCATAAGAGGGGCCAGGGAGATGGCTCAATGTTTTAGAGTACCTGCTGTTCTTTCAGAGGACCTGTGTTTAGATCCCAGCATGCATGTTGGGTAGCCCTCACTCACCTACAACTCTAGCTTCAGCAGATTCCACCCACTCTTATGTCCTCTAGAGAAACTTCACACAAACACATAAATAATAAGAATTTTTAAGGAAATACTTTCATTGTAAACATGAAGAATTTTTTTTGCCTTTTTTTGAAAATAGATTTTTCTAACGTAATATATCCTGTTTGATGTATCTCCCAAATATACCCTCTTCCTATTCTAATATCTGTTCCTCTCAGTTCCTTCCCACATCCTCCCATTCAGATTCAAACCCTTTCTGTCTGTCACTAGAAACAAACAGACTTCTAAGGAATAACAATAAGATAAAACAAAAATTAGCACACCAGAATAAGGCAAAACAAAAAGAAAACAGAAGGAAGAGAACCCAAGAAAAGGTACAAGAAATAGATTTAAATGTATATATACACTCATTTGCACACTCAGGAATCCCATAAAAACACTAAACTTGAAGTCATAATATACAGCTAAAGGACTTGTAGAGTAACATGAGAGAATGATAGTATGAGAAAAGGAACTTCCAAAGACATCACTGAGCTCATTTCCTATTGACCATATACTGCTAGGCATGCAGCCTACCCTCAGAATAGTTTGTTTCCCCAGTGGGTCTCCTTTGGAGAAAACTAAATTTTCATTTGAAAGTGGTTATCATTTGAGGCTTAGGGATGGAAGCATCCACCTTTGCTTTCAGCTCTAGGACCCCACTGGTCAGACCCATGCAGGTCTTGTGCATGCTGCCTCAGTTCCTATGAGTTCATATGTGTATCCATCTTGTTGATATAGAGGTCCTTGATTGCTTGGGGGTCTTCCTTCTTGTCTGTCTCTTACAATATTTCTGTCTCCTTTTCCACAGGGTTCCCTGAGCCCTGTGGAGAGGGATTTGATGGAGACATCCCATTTAGGGCTGAATGTTTCAAGGTTTCTCACTTTCTACATATAGTCTGGCTGTGTGTCTCTATATTTGTTCCCATCTACTGCAAAAAGAAGCTTTTCTGATGTTGAATGAGCAAGACACTTACCTATGAATATAATAGAATATCATTAGGAGTCATTTAATTGCTACATTCTTTTGTAGAACAGTTGTATTTGCTTTCACCCTAGGTCCCTGATCTATCTTGTCTCAGGTTCTTAGTCACCCAAACAGTTTCAGGTATGGGTTCCATCTCATGGAAGGAACCTTTACTCAAATAAGATATTGGTTGAATACTCTCACAAACTTTGTGTTATCACTGCCCCAACATGTTTTACAGGCAGGACACCATTGTAGATCAAAGGATTTGTGACTGAGTTGCTGTTTACATTTCTTCTTTGTTTATCTGCAGAGTACCTTCTGGCACCAAAGACACTAGCATGTAGGGGTGCATGTAGATACCAACTTGGCTTCTCCATATTTAATGAGTTGTGTGGGTATTGTCTTCAGTTTGTGTTTTTCTCTACCTTTTTTCTTTCTTCCGCTGTCTCTGTCTCTGTCTCTCTGTGTGTGTGTGTGTGTGTGTGTGTGTGTGTCTGTCTGTCTTTCTTTTCTTTCTTAATTTTTGAGACAGAGTTTCTCTTTGTAACAGTATTTGCTATCATGGAACTAGTTATGCAGACCAGGCTAGCTTCGAACTCACAGAGATCTGCCTACCTCTACCTCCCAAGTTCTGGGATTAAAGGTGTGCACCACCACTGGCTGGTTAGTTTGTGGTTTGTAGGAAGAGTATATGGAAGTTTTCAAATAACACTAGCATGAATGTAAATGTTAGCCAGCTTATAGTGTTTAGAATAATTTAAGTAAATTTGAGCCAGAAAGTTGTATCTTTGAAATCATGTGACATCTAATTATACGTATTTTTTAAATTTTCTAGCCTTTCCCAGAATGAGTCTCTGACACCACATGGAGATGGAACTGCCAGTGAACTGTGAGACATACACTCATATGTTAACAAAATGCATCAGTAATGAATAATCAAATGTATGGATATAAATACATGCTATTTGTATTTGCATGTACAGACAACAAGAGATGCACCACTAGCACCACTATACACACAGAAGCAGAGAAAGATGTAAGATTTGGAGGCTCCTAGAAGTGGTCTCTCAAGTGTATAAATGGAATATATCATTTTGGACCAATTTGAATAATATAAGTAGCTCTCATAAAACAATGCTTTTTCCCACTTCCTGAGTGTTTAACAATCTAAATAAGCACCAGATAAAATGATTAGGAAAATTTACAACTTTCCATGTAATAGATTTTATTACACTGAGTAAGAAAGCAGAGACCCCTGTTTGAAGTCATGCGATAGCAGGGAATAGAAAGTAGAGGAGCCCTTGCTGGAAAGGAACACAAACAATGAGCGCTTGATGTGTCCATCACTCTCTAGACCTCACCTACCAGATGAACAGCACCAAAAAACTAAAACATCATATGTTGAAGAACTTTAACCCATACCTATAAGATGCTTTCTGGTGTAGTAAAAGGCAACTGGTGGTGCTGGACAGTGATGGCACATGCCTTTAATCCCAGTGCTCTGGAGGAAGAGGTAGGATGATCTCTGTGAGTTCAAGGTCAGCCTTACAGAGCTGGAATTACAGAGCAATTCCAGGGTTGCTGGGACTGTATTACAGAGAAACCCTGTCTCAAAAAAAAGACAGCTGGTAGAAGTAAGAGGACAAAGGAGACACTTAGGAACAGATATCATATGTGATAAGCTGCATAAGCTTCTATGCACGGAATTGGATTTGAAGTAATTTATATCATAACTTGCACACATTGGTTCAGCTTTAGAAGCAATTTGCTGTTTTTTATTTCTGAGATGTTTTGCTATGTAGCCCAGGCTGACTTTGAACTTGTGAAACTCTTTCCTTAGCTTCTCAAAAACTGGAATTATAGTGGTATACCACAACATCCAACTTATCTCTTTAAACAAGACTAAAGTATTTAATAAAATATAAAACATCATTAAGGGAATATGATATGTTTATTGCAAACAGTGGATTTACATGGGAGGTTTTGTTTTATTACATTACTAGGACCTTTGCACATGTTTTCCCATTGAACTACAGCACCAACCCTATGTGTGAAAAATCTTAAGGTTCAAAATGTTTATAGATTGAATTATAATTATAATCATTAAATTGTAATAAACTCAAACTCATTTGAGTTTTGTTTTATCCTTTAGCACAGTTTCAAGTGGATTGAAATCATTATACTCAACGGTGTCCACCAGTATACTGTAAGATATAGATAAATTAATACTTCTTTCTTTGCACTTTTCCTCTCTGTGTATACCAATTCTTCCCATGTAACATATAGAGTTTGAGATCAGAGAATGCAAGGAAACACAGCTCTTTTTGTACTCTCATATTCTGTCATGGTGAGCTTCTGATTATAGCTCTTGAATTGTGGTACAGAGAAGAAGAACATAAAAAGGAGGGAACCTTCTTATTCATAGTCTTCAATCTTAGTGACTAGCAGCTAAAACCCACAGAAAATTATTAGAATGTCTATGTATAACAAAATAGTGGAGAATGCCAAGAGAAGAGAAATACCCATTTAGATGTAAAAAGGAGGTATCACTGGATAGGAAACAGATACTCTCAAACAAACAAAAAAAGAAGCAAATATACCATAGTTGTATCATTCACTTCTGAGCTCTTCCCACATTAGGACAGTGTCACAATCCACAGTTATCACCATCTTGAAAGGATCTTCTGACTCAGGTTTACAGTTACTGCCTTATCTGAGGGACAGAAACAACTATAATTTGTAAAATATCAAGTAATGCTGGATATATTTGAGATTCATAAAGGAAGGTATCCAAAGACAGATGGGTAACTAAGGACTAAAGTAGATTCTTGATTGGTACAAGCTTTATAAAATGCCAGTGACATTCTTTGCAAACTTAAAAAGGTGTGTCTGAAATAAGTATGAAAGCACAAAAGATCCAAAAGAGGCTAAGTACAAAGAACAAAGCTAGAGGCATTCTATAGTACAAGATTCCAAGACATAAAAACAAATATATAGCACTGACCACAGTAATACAGTATAGTTTTGGCATAAAATAGCACATAGACCAGTGGAACAGAGTAAAAACAGCCTCTCCAACAAGTCGTGCTGGGAAAACTGGTCATCCACATGCAGAAGATTGAGACTAGATCCTTATCTCTCACCCTGCACAAAATCAACTCAAAATATAGCAAGGAATTTAAACAGGCCAGAAACTCAAAAACTGTCATGGAAAAGCACCTTAAGATACTGGTACAGGTGATGATTATCTGTAGAAGACTCCCAAAGCACAGGAAGCAAACATGAAATTTGACAAAGATAACATAAAAATGAAAAGCTTCTGGAATGGCAAGATTACCAGTAGGCAAAAGCACAGTTGCTTAGACTGAGTCTCCTCACAGTTGCTTAAGATGAGAACTCCATTATGCACGTTGTTTCCTGATCTCCACTCAGGCTGTGGCATGTGTATGTACACACACACACACACACACACACACACACACACACACACAAATATAATTTTAAAATGTCTTAAAGCTTCTTCTGAATAATGAAATAATAAGAGCGAAGACACAGTGTATAGATGGTAGGAAATGCTTCTCAACAATTCACCTGACAGACATCAATACTGATAATATATAAAAGACTAAAGAAATAGCATCAGTAACATCAGTTTAAAAATGACAAAGGATTTTGTCCTTTTTTTGAGTCTAGTCTGGCCTAGACTCAGAGGAAACAAAGTCAACATATAATGACGATATTTGCATATCCATGAATATTACTGCTCTATTATCAATAGCCTAGGTGTCTACCCAAAGATGAGTGAATGAAGAAAATGTGATATATGGATAGAGTGGAATATTGTTAAGCCAAAAAGAATGAAATTTTTCAGTTTCCAATAAAATGAATAGAACTGAATAACATTGTGTTGAGTAAAATGTAGAAGATACTATAAGACAAGTGTCACATAATTTCTCTTCTATGTGAGTAAAAGCAAGAGTTGATTTGAAAGCAGAATATAGTTGTTACACGGGACTTGAATGGTTACTGGGCAACTGGTGAAGGGAAGTTGGATCACATGTTGAATGCATCCTGTGACTCTAAGGATATATCAGTAATGCATGCTAGTGAAAGGATCTAAAAATTGAACTCTGAAGTAAATAATTATGAAATACTGTTTTACATTGGGATTAGTTTCAATTTAAAAAAAGGTCTTTAAACCTTTATCATTTTGAATATGTTAAATTTTAATTTTTTCCATTAATTTATTAAAAGTTAACAAGTTCATAAATGTCAAACAGTAATTATAGCTAATTTGAACAAAAATCAATTTTAAAATATCATGTGGTATTGACTACCTGTTCTTTAAAAACTGCTTTAGCATTGCCTCATCTGATTTAACAGCAGAAATCCAGGAAGAAAACATCAACAAATGGTAAGATCTAAAAATATGTATTAATATACATTGTATATATGTAAATATATATTTCAATTTATTGGAATGCATCAGAAAAGAAAGATATTGAGATTTGTGGAGTTGATTAGTAGTGTCAGTGACAATTATAGATTGTGTTATTATTTTTAAAAGTCTTCTTGCCATAGTATCTCTAGGTATCTTTCTATCCTAGTTGAATGTAAGGGGAAATCCTTAGAAAGTGTTTTGAACTCTTAATCTGTTGGTCACTTGGGTAACACCACAAGAATGAGAGAGAGAGAAAGGGAGAGAGAGAGAGAGAGAGAGAGAGAGAGAGAGAGAGAGAGATACTATTTGGAGCAAGAAGGGAGGTGACTGACAAGTAGGAAGAAAGTGGAACCCTAAGTGAAAAGAATCAAATTAATAGGCCTTAAAACTGTACCTCACCCCCCAGAGATCTGTCTCTACATGATGCTGGTGTCTCAAATTTATAACCATTATCACATTAGAGTTCTCCTCGCAGACCTTTAGTTATTTTAATGCTACACAAGGACAAGAAAAATTTCCATGGTGTATGAAAAGTACAGAGTGGTGGAAGGACTTGGAAATCATGAAACTAGAAAGGGCAACATTTAAATACCTACACTTTGAAGCTGAATTTTGAAATAAATGTAGCCTCCGAAATGGCAATACATATTGGTTTAGATGTAGTAATAAAAAATTGCACTTTAATCCTGATTCATTATGTTGTTTTCCAGGGATACAAGTGATTTTTATAGTATACAAGGGTTAATTTAGGTAAATTTATATACCAGTATCCAGACAACGAATAGGCATGTAAGTTATAAGTGTTTAACAGTTTTATAAAATATAGGACAATTATGCACATTTCAACCCAAAATAGATCTTTGAATTTACTCAGCTCCTAGATGAGTATTTTAAATCTTTAATACTGACTTGATTACAATGGCATCAGTAGTCAGTGTCTGCTTTGTTAAAAGATTGATATATTTCATGTTGCAATGATGATATCATCAAAGGCTGCTTTATGTATGTGTGTGTACAAATATATATATGTGTATGTATATATGTGTATATACATATGTGTATATACACATATGTGTATGTTTATATGTGTATGGATATATGTATGTGTGTATGTATTGGTCATCAAAGACTGTTTTGGCAGAGAAAATGAGATGAAACCAAGAGAGGAGAAAGAAACCTGTTAAAGTTAAGTCTTGAAATTATTCATGGAAAAACAGTTATCTGAACAATGATTCTAAATTCTAATTTTTTTCAGAAAATTTGTATCTCTTAGATTCGAGGGAATCTTTCAACGAATCTTTTCATCTTACTGTTAAATGTATCACTCTCTAATGATGTATCTTTCTATTTGTTGGTGCTAAAGCAAGTTAAAACAGGTCTCCAAGTTATATGATGGTGATGAATGTATTGATATTCGCAAGACATATTGGTAAGTGGGTTTGATATTTGGAGAAAGAGAGAGTCATGGATGGATCTCTTGTCTTTAGGAAAGCAGAGCTACTACTGGGGAAAAATAATAGTAGAGAAATTTGGAAAATAACTCAATAATAACCTACTGTATTTATAAACAAGTACAATGCTGTGGAAAACATTTTATGTACTCACAAAGAGTTTATTTTGTAAAAATTGATAATGTTCTTTCTTGGTAGTGATTTTTTTAAAGTTTATTAAATTATGAAAGTTTCCATTTCCGCCCCTCCTCCCAACACCCTCCCCCTCCCACCCTCCCCCTCCTCTTCCCTCTCCATCCCTAAGAGCAGTCAGGGCTTCCAGCCCTGTGGGAAGTTCAAGTTCCTCCCCCCTCTCTCCAGGTTCAGGAAGGTGAGTATCCAAACAGACTGGATCCCAAAAATCCAGTATATGCAGAGGAAACAAGTCCCAGTGTCATTGTCAATGACTTTTCAGAAAGGCTCCAGGCCAGCCACATTCAGAGAATCCGGCCACATTCAGAAAATCTGGTTGGATCACATGCTCGTTCAGTCCCAGTCCAACTGTCCTTGGTGAACTCTCATTAGATCAGTCCCCTTGTATCAGTGGGTGATCGCACCCCTCGCGGTCCTGAGTTTTTTTTCATGTTCTTCCTCCTTCTGCCCCTCATTTGGACCATGGGGGGCTCAGTCCGATGCTCCAATGTGGGTCTCCGTCTGTATTGCCATCCATCGTCGGATGAAGGATCTATGGTGATAAGCAAAATATTCATCAGTATGGTTATAGGCCAAGGCCGGTTCAGGCACCCTCTCCTCTGTCCAGAGAACAATCTGGGGATCTCTCCTTGGACCTGGGATTCCATTTATATTCAAGTCTCTTGTAAACCCTAAAATGACTCCCTTAGTTGAGATATATTCTTCCCTGATCCCATATCCATCCTTCCTCCCTCCCCCCATCTCAGTCCCCAGAGTTTTCCCCATTCCTCCCCTACTCCCTTCTCTCTAACCCTCTCCCCTTCCAACAACCCTCCCACCCACCCCCCTATGCCTGGGACTCTTGTCTATTTCCAATCTCCAGGAGGATAAGTACATGATTTTCCTCAGGTTCACCTTCCTATTTAGCTTCTCTAGGATCTCGAATAATAGGCTCAAAGACCTTTAATTATGGTTAGAATCCACTTATGAGTGAATACATACCATATTCCTCTTTTTGGGTCTGGCTTACCTCACTCACTAAAGCGTTTTCTATGTCCATCCATTTGCATGCAAAATTCAAGATGTCATTGTTTTTTACTGCTGAGTAAAACTCTAGTGTATATATGTTCCACACCTTCTTTACCCATTCTTCTATTGAGGGGCACCTAGGTTGTTTCCAGTTCTGGCTATTACAAATAGTGCTGCTATGAACATAGTTGAACAAATGCTTTTGTAGTATGATAGGGCATTTCGTGGGTATATTCCCAAGAGTGGAATTGCTGGGTCCTGAGGGAGGTTGACTCCCAATTTCCTGAGAAACCGCCACACTGATTTCCACAGTGGCTGTACAAGTTTGCATTCCCACCAACAATGGATGAGAGTTCCCCTCTCTCCACATCCTCTCCAGCATAGGTTATCATTGGTGTTTTTGACTTTAGCTAATCTGACAGGTGTAAAATGGTATCTCATAGTTGTTTTGATTTGCATTTCCCTGATCGCTAAGGATGTTGAGCATGACCTTAAGTGTCTTTTGGCCATTCGGAGTTCTTCTGTTGAGAATTCTCTGTTCAGATCAGCACCCCATTTTTTAATTGGGTTAATTAGAGTTTTAGTGTCTAGTTTCTTGAGTTCTTTGTATATTTTGGAGATCAGGCCTTTATCTGATGAGGGGTTGGTGAAGATCTTCTCCCAGTCAGAAGGTAGCCTTTTTGTCTTACTGACGGTGACCTTTGCTTTACAGAAGCTTCTCAGTTTGAGGAGGTCCCATTTATTCACTGATTCTCTTATTGTCTGTGCTACTGGGGTTCTACCTAGGAAGTGGTCTCCTGTGCCTATGTCTTGTAGATTACTTCCCACTTTCTCTTCTATCTGATTCAAAGTGGTCAGATTAATGTTGAGGTCTTTAATCCATTTTGACTTGATTTTTGTGCATGGTGATAGATATGGATCTACTTTCATTCTTCTACAGGTTGACATCCAGTTATGCCAGCACCATTTGTTAAAGATGCTTTCCTTCTTCCATTGTATACCTTTAGCTCCCTTGTCAAAAATTAGGTGCTCATAGGTTTGTGGGTTAATATCCGGGTCTTCTATTCGATTCCAAAGGTCGATTTCTCTGTTCTTATGCCAGTACCAAGCTGTTTTCAATACTATAGCTCTGTAATAGAGTTTGAAGTCAGGGATGGTTATACCTCCAAACGTTCCGTTATTATATAAGATTGTTTTGACTATCCTGGGTTTTTTGTTTTTCCATATAAAATTAATTATTATTCTCTCAAGGTCTGTGAAGAAGTTTGATGGGATTTTGATGGGGATTGCATTGAATCTATAGATTGCTTTTGGTAGAATTGCCATTTTTACTATGTTGATCCTCCAAATCCAAGAGCAAGGGAGATCTTTCCATTTTCTGGTATCCTCCTCAATTTCTTTCTTCAAAGACTTAAAGTTCTTGTCAAATAGGTCTTTCACTTCCTTGGTCAGAGTTATCCCAAGATATTTTATGCTATTTGTGGCTATCGTAAAAGGTAAAGTTTCTATGATTTCCCTCCCTGCTTCTTTATCCTTTGTGTATAGGAGGGCAACTGATTTTTTGGAGTTGATCTTGTATCCTCCCACATTACTAAAGGTGTTTATCAGCTGTAGGAGTTCTTTGGTAGAGTTTTTGGGGTCTCTTATGTACACTATCATATCATCAGCAAATAACGAAAATTTAACTTCATCCTTTCCAATTCGAATCCCCTTGATCCCCTTATGCTGTCTTATTGCTATTGCTAGAACTTCAAGCACTATATTGAAGAGGTATGGGGAGAGTGGACAGCCTTGTCTTGTTCCTGATTTCAATGGAATGGCTTTGAGTTTCTCTCCGTTCAGTTTGATGTTAGCTGTCGGCTTGCTGTATATTGCTTTTATTATATTTAGGTATGATCCTTGTATCCCCAATCTCTCCAACACCTTTATCATAAAGGGATGTTGGATTTTGTCAAATGCTTTTTCAGCATGTAATGAGATGATCATATGGTTTTTTTCTTTCAGTTTATTTATATGATGGATTACATTGATGGATTTGCGTATGTTGAACCAGCCCTGCATCTCTGGAATGAAGCCTACTTGATCATAATGGATAATTTTTCTAATGTGTTCTTGGAATCGGTTTGCCAGGATTTTGTTGAGAATTTTTGCGTCGATGTTCATGAGTGAGATTGGCCTGTAATTCTCTTTCTTGGTTGTGTCTTTATGTGGTTTTGGTATCAGCGTAGTTGTAGCTTCATAAAAAGAGTTTTGCAATGACTCTTCTGTTTCTATATTGTGAAATACCTTAAGAAGTATAGCTATCAGCTCTTCTTGAAAGTTCTGGTAGAATTCTGCATTGAAACCATCTGGCCCTGGGCTTTTTTTGGTGGGGAGGTTTTTGATAACCGCTTCTAATTCTTCGCGACTAACAGGTCTATTTAGATTGTTCACCTGGTCTTGATTTAACTTTGGTATATGGTATTTATCTAAAAACCTATCCATCTCTCGTACATTTTCCAACTTTGTGGCATATAAACTTTCATAGTAAGATCTAATGATTCTCTGAATTTCCTCTATGTCTGTTATTATGTCCCCCTTTTCATTACTGATCTTATTAATTTGGGTGTTCTCTCTCTGCAGTTTGATTAGTTTGGCTAGGGGTTTGTCAATCTTGTTGATTTTCTCCAAGAACCAACTTTTTGTTTCGTTGATTTTTTGGATTGTTTTCTGTGTTTCTATTTTGTTGATTTCAGCCCTCAGTTTGATTATTTCCAATCTTCTACTCCTCCTGGGAGAGTCTGCTTCTTTTTTTTCCAGAGCTTTGCGGTGTGCTGTTAAGTTTCCAATATGTGCTTTTTCCGTTTTCTTTAATTGGGCACTTAGTGCTATGAACTTTCCTCTTAGCACTGCTTTCATTGTATCCCATAGATTTGAGTATGTTGTGTCTTTATTTTCATTAAATTCAAGAAAGGCTTTAACTTCTTTCTTTATTTCCTCCTTGACCCAGGGGTGGTTCAGTAGTTGACTGTTCAACTTCCACACATTTGTAGGCTTTCTGGTGTTAGAATTGTTATTGAATTCTAACTTTATTCCGTGGTGATCCGACAAGACACAGGTGGTTACTAATATTTTTTTGTATCTATGGAAGTTTGCTTTGTTTCCGAGTATGTGGTCAATTTTTGAGAAGGTTCCACGAGCTGCAGAGAAGAAGGTGTATTCTTTTTTTTTTTGGGTGGAATGTTCTATAGATATCTGTTAAGCCCATTTGATTCATTACCTCTAGTAATTCTCTTATTTCTCTGTGGAGTTTCTGTTTGATTGACCTGTCCATTGGTGAGAGAGGAGTGTTGAAGTCTCCTACTATTAGCATGTGTGGTTTGATGACTGCCTTGAGTTCTAGAAGAGTTTCTTTTACATATGTGTGTGCCTTTATATTAGGGGCATAGATATTCAGGATTGAGACTTCTTCCTGATGGATTGTTCCTGTTATGAGTATGAAATGTCCATCTCCATCTCTCCTGATTGATTTTAGTTTGAAGTCGATTTTGTTAGATATTAGAATGGCCACACCCGCTTGTTTCTTAGGTCCATTTGCTTGGAAAACCTTTCCCCAGCCCTTTACTCTGAGTAGGTGTCTGTCTTTGTGGTTGAGGTGTGTTTCTTGTAAACAGCAGAATGTTGGATCCTGTTTTCGTATCCAATCTCTTAGTCTGTGCCTCTTTATAGGTGAATTGAGTCCATTGATATTAAGAGATATTAATGACCAGTGGTTGCTGACTCTGGTCATTTTTTTTTT